AGCGGCGGAGCCCGGGGGGTGGATGAGGTTCGTCTTGGGTATCTCAAGGCTATGGATGTTGTAGGGCTGTCATGGTTGACATGTCTCTGCAACATTGCATGGTCATCGGGGGCAGTTCCTGTGGAGTGGCAGACCAGGGTGGTGGTCCCCATCTTTAAGAAGGGTGACCTGAGGGTGTGTTCCAACTATAGGGGGATCTCACTCCTCAGCCTCCCTGGAAAGGTCTACTCCAAGGTACTGGAGAGGAGGGTCCGATCGATAGCTGAATCTCAGATAGAGGAGGAGCAATGTGGTTTTCGTCCTGGCCGTGGAACTGTGGACCAGCTCTATAGCCTTGCAAGGGTGATGGAGGGGGCATGGGAGTTTGCCCAACCAATCCACATGTGTTTTGTGGGTTTGGAGAAGGCTTATGACCGTGTCCCCAGGGGCACCCTGTGGGGGATGCTCCAGGAGTATGGGGTGGGTGGCTTTCTGTTAAGGGCCATTCAGTCCCTTTACCAGAGGAGCGTGAGTTTGGTCCGCATAGCCGGTAGTAAGTCGGACCTGTTCCCGGTGAGGGATGGACTCCGCCAGGGCTGCCCTTTGTCACCGGTTCTGTTAATTACCTTTATGGACAGAATTTCTAGGCGCAGCCGTGGTGTGGAGTGTGTCGAGTTTGGTGGCAGGAGAATCTCGTCTCTGCTTTTTGCGGATGATGTGGTCCTCCTAGCTTCATCCAGCTCTGACCTTCAGCTCTTGCTGGGTAGGTTTGCGGCCAAGTGTGAAGCGGCTGGGATGAGGATCAGCACCTTCAAATCTGAGATCATGGTTCTCAACCGGAAAAGGGTGGCTTGCCAACTCCGGGTCGGGGGATTAGTCCTACCTCAAGTGGAGGAGTTTAAGTATCTCGGGGTCTTGTTCACGAGTGAGTGTATGAGGGATCGGGAGATCAACAGGCGGATTGGTTCGGCATCTGCAGTGATGCGGACGCTGAGCCGATCTGTCGTGGTGAAGAGGGCGCTGAGCCAGAAAGCCAGGCTCTCGATTTACCGGTCGATCTACGTCCCAATCCTCACCTATGGTCATGAGCTTTGGGTAATGACTAAAAGAACGAGATCGCGGATACAAGCGGCCAAAATGAGTTTCCTCCGTAGGGTGGCCGGGCTCAGCCTTAGAGATAGGGTGAGGAGCTCGGACATTCGGGAGGGACTCGGAGTAGAACCGCTACTCCTCCGGATCGAAAGGAGTCAGCTGAGGTGGTTTGGGCATCTGGTCATGTCCTGCTGGTAGGAGGCCCCCGGGTCGACCCAGGACACGTTGGAAAGGTTACATCTCCAATCTGGTCCGGGAACGCCTTGGGGTCCTGCTGGAGGAGCTGGTGGAGAATGCCGGGGAGAGGACGGTCTGGAGCTCCCTAGTTGGAATGCTGCCCCCGCGACCCGGATAAGCGGAGGAAGACGACAACGACGACGATGTACGGGAATTTTAAAGAAACGTTTTGATACCAAGAACACGCGTATTTTCTAATGGGACAATACGATATTTTTGGTTTTGTGTGAAAATAAGCCCAGGACTACAATTGCGCTTCACCAAAGTGACGTCATCGAACCAGACACAGAGAAAACTGAGGGCAATGGCTGTAAGTTAAGCAAGCTTCCCACAGGAGGAGAGAACCACCATAAATCTGGTCATGTGGTAAGTAGCAGCTACTTTGTGGAGAGGAGATTATATGGTGATGTCACATATGTGACATGACGAGGTCTAAGCTGTAGTCATGCCAATTACGAACTTTTACAAGCTAATAAATCTCAAAGTACATGACTGGCACGGTCAAAACGCCCATCATTACTTTTCATTTAAATTGCAGTACAACATATGTGTGATCCAGGGCGTAAAGCAAAGCAGAATGGAAAATAGCTCTTTTAGCCCTGTTGACATGTATTCTGTCATTCTTCCGGGCACCCATGGTGAGGAAGTAGACTTAGGCACCCTATGCTTAATGCAGAGCTTATATGTCCCTAAACAGCTACCGTTTTTTAAGATGGTGGATGACCATGGAGCATCAACCACAGTTTATTTATTCAGAATTGTAAAATTTCAAGTTGAGAGGAATATTTAGAATTGATGTTGGTGAGAAATATTCGTGAAAAATGACAAGTTTGTGAACTGGAAACACAGGATTTATAGTAAACAGGTAATAATATTACACACCAGGGCTTTAAAGGGATATTCTACCCAAAAATGACATTTTATCTGTTTACATATTGCCCAGCATTAGATAAGTGAGAAAAACTATTTTTAACCAGCGCAGTCATTCTCCTGACCCGGCAGTACTCCTTTAGCTTTAGCTTAGCATAAAACACAGTAAGTGAATGGATCCAACTAGCATTGCGAGTAAAAATTCCTTAGAGTGGTAGTGATCCCAATTCTGCTAAACCTAAATAACCTGACTGGCTGCAAGTGAAAATAGTTAGTAACATAAAGGATTCACAGGTGCCAGTATAGACATGGGACTATTTTATCACAAAGTACAGCAAAAGGTGGAAGGGTAGAGAATACAGAAAGAGACTGTACAAGCTAGTCAACAACACTAGCTCACTTCTGGGTTACCAACTAGGAGGATGCTCTGAGAGATGACCTCCATCTCAGAAAACACCTCCCACCCACTGCATTCCACTGTGGAGACCATGGACAGCTCCTTCAGAGGCAGACTGAGGCTGTGTCTCAATTCAGGGTCTGCAACCTTCGTCGGCCAGATTCGTCGGCCGGTTACGTCACAGCGCCGCGACTAGGCCTGTCCCAATTCGAAGACTCCTTCAAATACGGTCTACAAATCCGGCCGTCTTTTCGCCTGAATGAAGGATGGGTCCGGTGTATCCTTCAGTGATTTACATTTCCCAAGATGCCTTGTGGGCCGGACGGCAGAACTTTTAAAAACAATGGCGGACAGTGAAGCGGGAGCTGTCGGAGAGGATTGCGCATATAAATGTCAGTATAAACCTGAAAACTGTTAGGTTACAAACTTTTTGTGATATATGAACGTTATTTTAGTTAGAAATGTTACAGTAAAAGTGCTTGTATTGCGGTCTCGGCTCGTATGTTCGGCCGCTCGGTGTCGTACTTCTCCCGCTACGTTTTCCCCCTGATTTTACTAGAAGTTTGTATTTTAGGGACAAAAGAGAAAACTACGGACTTTATAAAGCTTAGGGCGGATATGGACCACATGTTCATCTCCAGAGCTTTGGCGGCTGTGGCTTGGACGTACAATAACATCTTTTAAAAACTTTTGTTTGAGTTTAGTTTTTTCTGCGAAAACATGACAGGAATAAACCGTTGTCCTCTTTTTCTCTTTTTTTTTAATTACATGCTTGTTAAGACTATTCTGGAGAAAATGGCCATCCAGGGAAAGGTGACCCCCATCCAGGCAAAAAAAAAGGGATAATTTAAAGAAAAAATATAAAGTATGTAGATGTGTGTGGAAAAGTATAACATGTATACATGCTAAATCTAAAAAGGTTAAACAGGTTTGTAATTATTTGTGTAAATCTTGGTTCAGCAGATTCAGCACCACTGAAAGGGACTCCCTGCTCAAACGAAAGTCTGGTCTCGGATCTCGCTAGTTGAAGAAACGGTCCAGTACTGGGACACTCAGGTTAATCCTGCAGTATCTGGGTCTAGTCTGGTTAAAGAGAAATACAGAACAAATAAAGTTTTATTTCAAAGCTGTAATTTCAAGTTTTTATAAAACATATTATTCTCAATGTAAATGTGATAATATAGTGTTTTTATGCTATTCTTTCAAATTTCTAAAAACTTAACTTTTGAAGAATGTATGCAATGAAGGCCAAAAGATCAATTTTCTGTAATTAGGTTTGTAAGTCATATAACAAGTTCTTATTTTTGTCCACTAGATGTCCTTCTACAGGTAATCGATGGTTCCATGTAATGGACTCTTTCTGCTAACAGTTATTTGTTATTTAATGATATCCATATTTTGTAATTATTTTTTTTATTTAAGCCATTTTCACATTTTTTTTCTTCTTACTTGAGTAACTCTTTTGGTGGGGAGCTTTTTTAGTTGAGTAAGTATAAAAGATTTGAAGTTGTAGTTTATATTTGAGTATAGGTTTTGAATTTAATACGGAGTCTGTTGACAACTGTAAAAAGTAGCTAAAACTATCCATTAAGCTAGCTATAGCCGATAGGTAAAGCCTACTTAATAGAAATGACTTTACCTGTTCATTGTTGCGTCTCAGCCTGAGCAATAGAAAGTGCCTTCGCCGGCGATACATGTCTTCTAACTCCTCCAGAACCAAGGAAATGGTTAAAAAGCTCAATAAAACTTTGAGGTCCATCATTAAGTTCCTTCTCCCTTCTGCTCAGCGGTTCCACGGTTGCTAGGCAACGGAACGTTCGCCGAGGGAGTGGCGGGAATTCATGAAGGCTAGGCCTGTCCAAATTCACAGCCGTTAACATCCGGTCTACTCGGCCGACGGAGGATCCAGCCCACGTCGGCCGAGTAGACTGGGTCCTTCGAAGGATGCAGACCCTGAATTGAGACACAGCGTGAGACATCCCAGATGCTAAACAGAACGCTACCGTAGGTCATTCATCCCCTCTGCAGTAGGAGTATAAAACTCCTCAGTTTAACTGGTACTGGCATCATCCTGGTACACAATAGCACCAATGCAATATTCAGTATGCGTTCAATACTTGTGCAATACCAGATGTTCATCAGTATGTCTGTGTCCCTTATAATGCATTGCTCTGGAAACCCAAGTTTCAATTTTCTTTGTTGTTTTTAGTGGTTGAAGGTTACAAAATGAGCTTATTGTGTATGTGTTTACATGTAATCTTATTTTTACTTCTCCCTTTTCTCTAAGCATTTGTGCTGCTGTAGCAAGTAGCTTGTGTTCAGTTTGTAAATCAATATTCTATATTTCTCTTTTTTGTATTTTGTGCCAAATAATTAAAAAAAAACGTCTCCACAAACTCCTAGTCTAAAACAATGAGATCCTTACAGGCCCTCGGGAATACACTCAAGTGTGATGCTTTGGCCTCGAAGGGCCAGCACTGAGGTGTGTGAGCCACTGGGTCGAACAAGACGTGGTCTTCTACCTTGAGTCACATCATTACCTAGAAAGGAAGAGAGAAATTGTTGGTATAAATACTATATTGCACAGGAGAGAACACATTGCAGCAGTTTGAATGTCACCTCACTAGCTTCCAGTCTTTTATAGTGTCAGGTGTAAGATTTATTGTTTGTTTTTAAATTCATCATAGGTTTAGCTCCCTCTGATCTCACTGAGCTTTTCGGGACTCATTTTGTGCTTTCTGATTTTATGTTGACTTGATTTAGTTGTGGAGAGGTCCAAGTACTATGGAAGCTCTTATTGTTTTCTATGCAATAAGCTATTTAGAATGCTCGTAGGATATCTTGTTAAATTACAGTTCAGTATTGCAGTTTTGGTATATAGCATTTAAACCAAACAATGGTGATCCTGTTTTTTTATTTTTTGAATGCTGGGATCCCAAGACGTTCCCTGGCTTGCAGAGAAATGTAATCCCTTTAGCGTGTCCTGGGTCTCCTTCCTGTTGGACGTGCCCAGAAAACCTCACCAGGAAGGCGTCCAGGAGGTATCCTAACTAGATGCCAAAGCTACCTTAACTGGCTCCTCTTCTTTTTTTTTTTTTTCTACCGTGTCCTGTCTGGCTGTGAAGCAAGCAGAACTGATGTCTGAATGCTGGTGACAAGCCTTACAGATTTACTCTCAGGTGGAGCATTAAAGCGTCTGCTTTTAATGTCACGCCTGATACTTAAAACTTTATTGTTATTGTTGTTGAATGCTTTGTAATTCCGACCAGACACGGAGACAGAGGTGAAAGAGAAAGGAAAAGAAAAGGTGGGGAGAGAGGAGGGGGGGGTTCCACAATAATAAATAATGAACAAGAGTCTGCTTCTAGACCTGCAGAAAAAGACAAAAAAAAAAGCAAAAGGACACAAAAAATGGGACACAACAACAATACAACAAGATCTAGCTATCACCGTCAACTTGATGAAAAAATATATAATCAACATTGCTTAACTGAAAAATCACGATAATAAATCACAGTGCATTAAGTGCCCACCATAGTCTTAAGACCTGTGTTTAACGTGCCCAAGCCCATACTTTTGAGAGCACCATGTGAGCACCTGTGTGTGTACACGTAGGGCTGCTCAATTAATCGAATTTTAATCACGATTACGATCTGAGTTTTGAACGATTATAAAGAACAAAACAAGCCGATTATTTGCTCCTCCCACTTGCGCTGCCCTGAGTTGCAAATGAAGCGCTCCTCCCAGTGTTGCCAACTTAGCGACTTTGACGCTATTTCTAGCAGCTTTTCAGACCCCCTTCTTGACTTTTTAATCCTAAAAGTACCTAGCGAACACCTCAGAAACATCTCTGGTAACCCTTAGCTACTTTCTGGATAACTGTCGTCGACATTTCCTGCAGGTTAGCTAAACACTCCGCCTGCGCTCTGGACCGTTCTTCAGGACATTAGGAAAGGGAATGATGTAGTGATGTGTCAGTCGCTAAAGAAACGGCTCTCTGAGCCGGCTGCTTGTTGGATTAACCAGAGTGAGTGACACACACACCGTACCTGCGGACTCCTGAGCAACTAAAAATAGCTAAATGTGCGCGTGCGGCGTGCTAAACACACGTGCAGCTTGCCCGATTGCTGTGAGACCGGGTTGGGGGGTGGGGGGTGCAGCTGTGGTTGGGACAATTATTACATTAACTGATGGACTTGTAAATAACAGTTTATAAATAAGGTAGAAATAAGTTCCTCACGCTGATAACTAATAACTAATCTCTCTGAGGACACGGTGCTAGTGCACGCTCCTACAGCACCTTGACACGACTCAATAAATGTTATGCAACATTTTGTGAACATCAATTTATTTGCATTTATTTATTATAAATGCCACTGTATAATTCTTGCTGTCAGTATTTGCAAGATATTGGTATTTGGGTCTGTACTGGTTAGACTTAAATGAGTTAAACCAAGGTCTACAGCCCTTGGGTCATAGACTATGAGCTATAAGTATATTGGTCTTTTTATACTGGGAATCAGGAGTTATTTTAGTGATCATCTTGTTTCTTATTTATTTTTGTCCTGATTGTGCCCTGAGCAATTTTATGACTGAATAAAAACAAATTAAATCATCATAAATTGAAAAATCGTCCTAAATAATCGTGATCTCAATTTCAGTCACCATAATCGTGATTATTATTTTTGCCATAATCGAGCAGCCCTAACACGTGCTTGTTTATGTAAGGTTTCTCTATAGAGTGTCCAATAGAGGGTGTGAGGGACCACAGATCCGCCCCCCAAAGATGTGCAGGAGACGGGGGGAGCTCCAAGTCCCAGAGATCCAGGCGCTGCCCCAGAACACAGGAACCCCAAGGAGACTGCAACCAGAAAGGCCCCTGCCCCCCTCAAGAGGCACAGAGGATCGCCCCGGGGGGCCACAACCAGCAGCCGGCAGAGTCCCGGGAGATATCAGCAGCAAGCCCACAGGCCCGCCCGCAGCCTCCCACCCCCTAGCCGGCCGAGCCCGGGACCCAGCGACCCGGGACCCAGATCCCACCAGACAGCCACCAGGATCTATCAGGCAGATGCCAAAATCTTAAACCCCCAGACCCGGTTGCCACGAACACTCAGGCAGACCATGGCACAACCCCTCACACCAGGTGTAGCAGGGGGAGGGGGGACAAAGATCTATATCATCAAGAGAAGTTCCAGGAGAGGGGAGGAGTCAAAGGCCCCACCTGACATATACAGTCATACACAAACACAGTCACACACTCCCTCCCTCATGCTCACACATGCACATACAACCAAAAACTTACAAAAATGCACGCAGGACACCCACTCATGCTCCCAATACACACCCTATTCACTCTGGTCCCGGTACTGCTGCACATTGGGTACAACCATCACCGGTTCCCAGAGTTTGACCCTTTCTGCTGGGGTGCTGATGAGCAGGCTCCCCCGCCCAACGCTGAGCACAGCAACCCACCACCCCAGACCCCGACCATATGGCCAGATCTCCCTCCTGGCCTCCAGCCCCAGGAAGCCTAGCAACAACAGAGGTGGCTAAGACCCCTAGTCTCCCTCCGCCTGCTCCAATATAGTGTTGTGTGATCATGAGGTGTATTCCATGGCTGTGGTGAGTGGGCAGTGCGGACATCATCCGGCCTATGCCAGCTGATGCCACCGCACCACCCCACTCACACCTTCAGCCATCAGTGTCTAAGTGCGGTCTAAAATTGGAAGTGGGCACCGGCACCTGGGAGGAGGCTGAAATATCCCCCTGCCAAATGCTGTTGAATGTGCTCACTCCCAAGGCCCTAAGTGTGTGTTTGTGTGGAATGTCGTCAGTGGAAGTGTATGAGGTGCAAATAAAATTGGAGGGCAGGTTGCCACAGGAATGCGGAAATGGGGTCCATACCCGCACTCCCTGACTTGCCCACCCCCCAAGGTCCTATGTGTATGTTTGTGTGATGATGTGAGGGAGCAGGAGGAGAGAAATATGCGGGGATGGGGAGGAATGGCTGGTTGGGCTTAGCCCTCCAGGGAGCCAGCTCCCCTACTGGCTCCAATAGGCACCTCTGTTGTCAAACTGCCACCCAGGGCATGGAGACCCCAGCCCATCCTGCCAGGGCCCAAAGCAGCAGCATTACAGAGCCTCACGGAGTCTGAGGGCAACAACCCAGCCACACCCCAGCAGAATATCTATGCCCATCCCTGCATTTGCACAACGTCCAGAATATATAAGACATGGGACATCCAGGTAAGGTTGGGTCCTCCCAGTCCTGGACCTCCCCCTCCCCTGTGATGGAACGGCAGAGGAGCCAAGGTCTACCTGAGGCCCCCGAACCCGGGCCAGGCACTGCTGCGTGTTCCTGCCTTCTTCCCGGCAGCATACATGTCAGGACCCGACCCCCAAGGCCCCGCCCAGATCCCCACACGGGGCCGGCCACCCCCAAACCCCGAGACCCCAGGCCCCCACCCAGACCCGCCCAGGGGCAATGCAGCTGCCAGGCAGTGACCCATGGCCGCCGCCAAGATCCCCAAGGGGCCCCACTCACAACTGCCAGCAGTCCACCCCCCGAGGCAACCCAAGCACCTCCAGAGGGGGGCAACGGCCCCCCAGTCCCAGACACCCCCAGTGAACCCACCTCCAGGGAACATCCGGATACTCCAAACTCAGACCCCACACCCCCCCACCCACACCATCCCGCAGGACAACATCAACGGCCCCCCACCCTCGCTATGTGATGGAACCGATCAAAGGAGCCCAGAGAGATTGATCTGAAGTGGAAGCAGAGGCTATATCAAGTGTAATATGATCTAACAAAAGACTTCTATACTGGTTAATGCAGAGACTTTCTCTGTTTGTCCAAGTCAAGAGGATAGTTTTCTTAGCGATGCATATGGCAGTCAGAACCATGTGAACCACAGATGTTTCAATCGGGACATCGTCCAGGTTTCCCAGTAAACAAAGAGAGGGGGTGGTTGGGATATGACATTTCAGACATTTTGACAGATCCTCACATACTCTACCCCAAAATTCCTGGACAGGTGGGCAGGACCACAGTGCATGAATGTAATTGTCAGGAATGTTGTTTGTGCAGTGTACAGGTGTCAGACGACACAAACCCCATCTTGAACATCCGATGACCTGTATAGTGTACTCTGTGTAGAATTTTGTACTGAATTAATTGTAAATTGGTGTCTGATCATTTTAAAAGTTTTTAAACAAGTTTGGGACCAGAAGTTCTGGTCAAAGCTAACTGATAGATCCACCTCCCATTTTTCAATAGGGATTGCAATTTTATCGTCTATTTTGGACAGTGTCTTATATACTTTAGACAGTAGTTTGGGGGGTTTGAGATTATAAAAGTCTAATACCCTTGGTGGTGTTTGTAATTCTAGTTTATTGAGCTTAAATTTTTGTTTAACTACAGATTTAATTTGGTGGCATTCTAAAAAGCTATTCTTATCCATTCCAAATTGGGAGACTATTCTGTTAAAGTCCACTCCTTCATATATGTGTTCCAGGTATAGGATTCCTTTACTTTTCCAGTCCGGAAGGATCATCATTTTGTTATTTTGCAAAAGATCAGGATTATTCCAGATGGGTGTGCGTCTGCATGTTACTAGTGAAGACTCTGTCATTTTAAAATTTAGTCAGATAATGTTCATCACATAGCGAATAAGACTTGTTTCATGAACAGACACTTACGAGGTAGGACGCTGAGCTGTACCATGGTGTCAGGGAGGATGGTTCTTGCTGCTACATAATGAGCATTGCATGTAGTTCCATTTATGCTGTCATCCAGCAGAAGATTTGAGAAGTACAAGTTTCCATCCAAGCCAATAATGACTCGCTCACTCTGCTCAATATGGACCATGTCTGGGGAAAGCAAACACACAGTCAGAAAAGACAGCACACTGTAAGCAGGGTCTAAAACTTAATGTTAAAAGCTACTAATGTCAAATCAATTCAAATATTTAATGTCATTGTGACTTTTCCAAACAACAGTTAAATTAGAGGGTGCAGTGTATCCTTCAGCTCAATGCCCAGAAACTTGTGGGTAGAATAGAATATGATTTATTTGTGTCAGTGAGTAAACCTAGAAGGTGAAACTAATCAATTAGACTCATTTCCATGCAAAGCCAGATGTTTCAGCCTTTGGTTTGTTATAATTGTGGTGATTATGGCTTACAGCTTATGAAAACTCAACATTCACAATTTCAGACCAGTGTTTTTTTGGCAGCCATCTAAGTTTTAGTCCTAGTTATTTGAGCAAAAATGCACTTTAATTTAATTTAGTCAGTTTTAGCCCACTAAATCTCAAAAATGTTTAGTTGTAGTCAACACAGGCTTTGATATAGGTCAGACATGTGTACTCTGAGCTACTGGAGGCAGTTTCATACCAACATTGATTATTTTAGTCTGAAAGGAGATTGGGCACAGTTTCAGCTGCCCCAATTTTTGCCCAGTATAATGTTTTTTTTCTTTACTAATAACAACAATACTGTGTAGAATGGATTTAGTGATGGAGATCAGTGACTCATTCAGTAGATTTTCACAAAATAAATTTATGATTTTCATTATCATAAATGTTTTTACCCAAGTACTTTTTAAAGCCCGTACTTTTACTTGGGTACAAAAAGGTAAAAAAAAATGTCACCTTAAAGAACACACACACACACACACGCACACAAAACATCTGGGTGGACTGAGGAGTTTATTTCAACACAATAACAACAAGTCTCCCTCTGCGGCAGCCCCCCCCCCCCCACCCCCCCCCCCCCCCCCCCAACCCTCAGTGTCTAGGTGCAGATTATAATTGAAAGTGGGCAAAGAAACTTGAGGTGTGGCTGAAAGATCCCCCTGCCAGGTGCCACTGAGTTTGCTCTCCTCCAAGGCCCTAAAGCTTGGTTTATGCTTGACGCATTTACTTTCCGTGCGGTGATGCGGCTCGCGGATGGAACGCGCTTCACAGCTCGCAGTGTTTATGGTTCATGCGGCTCGTCTCTGCGGTGAGCCAATATTCTCCCAAACTGTAGGGGGCAGCATGGAGCGCTACGGCATGCATCCAACACTACACCATAGTAGAAGTAGAAATTACTGTTTACAACATGGCATTCCAGCATTTTAACAGCGTCCTCGTCTTTTCCGACAGTGCGAGCTACTTCTCTCCAAGAATTATTAACAACATGTTGATCACGGTGATCTCTGAGAGCTGAATCATACAAATGTCTGTATTTACGAACCTCTGCCATACTAGTTCTTGCCAGTCCGCCATGTTTTTCTGCGTCTGACCATCTGCATGGTTAAGAAAATTTCCTAGGTGCGCGTTGTGGAAATTTTGGGCCGTGCGGAGGCGCGATGGAGGGGCGTGTTGTTAAAATGACGCAAAATGATGCAACTTTTCCGCGCGGAGCTGTGCAGACCTCGCGGACGCATCAAGCATAAACCAACCTTGAGTGTGAATTTGCGTGGAATGTCATTGGTGGAGGTCTTTAATGTGCAAAATAAACTTGGGTTAAAGGCTGCCACGGGACTGAGGAAATGGAAAACATACATGCACCCCCTGATTCATTCACACCCCAAGGTCCTATGTGCATAATTATGTGGTGACGGGAAGGAGAAGGAGGAAGAAAATGTCTGAGGATGGGGAAGAATGGCTGGGGGGCCTGAGCCCTCCAGGGAGCCAGCTCCCCCACTGGCCCCATTAGGCACCCCTGTTCCCAAAATGCACCCAGGGCATGAAGAAGAAGAAGAAAATATAATTTCTATAGCACCTCTCAAGATAAAAATCATGAGGCGCTTCACAAAAACAAAAACAAAAAATTAAAAAATTAAAATGTAAAAATATAAAAAAGCATTTAGAAAATGTTTAAAAATATATGTAAAATGAGCAAAAATAAGCAATTGCGATTTAAAAAAAATGTAAAGAAAGAGAGAGTGAATAGGAAAGAGGGAAATCAGTGGATCCTGAGGAAGGTGGAATAGGTGGGGAGAGCAGAATAAAGAGAGAGAGGTGAAGAAGGTCATACAAAAGCCAGCTTGAACAAGTGAGTCTTCAGCTGCTTTTTAAAGGAGACCACTGAGTCCACTGATCTCAGGCTCAGGGGGAGAGAGGTCCAGAGTCTGGGGGCCACAGCAGCAGATGATCTGTCACCTTTGACCTTTAGCCTGGTGCTGCACAACCAGTAGGCTTTGATCACTGGACCTCAGGGACCTGCTGGGGGTGTAGGGACTAAGAAGATCACCAATGTAAGATGGTGCTTGTCCATGTAAGGCCCTATAGACCAGAACCAGGATCTTGAAATGAACCCTGAAGTTGACTGGCAGCCAGTGAAGCTGGAGGAGAAGCGGGGTGATGTGGGTGTGTTTGGAGGACTTGGTCAGAAGCCGAGTACAGGCGTTCTGAACCACCTGTAGACGGTTCAGGGAGGTTCTGCTCAGACACGTGAAAAGAGAGTTACAGTAGTCTAAGCGTGAGGAGATGAAGGTGTGGAGAACTGTCTCAAGTTCAGAGCGGGACAGAATGGGACTCAGCTTAGCAATGTTCCTGAGATGGAAGAAGGAAGAGCAAACAAGAGAACTGACATGAGAATCCAGGGTGAGAGCTGGGTCAAAGGTCACGTCAAGATTCCTCACAGAGGGTTTGGTGTGAGAAGCAAGCTGACCAAGAGAGTCTCTGACTTTGGGAACCAGCTTGTCTGGGGCACAGATGAGGATCTCAGTCTTATCTTCATTCAGCTGAAGAAAGCTCCCACCATCCAGGTTTTGATAGAGTCTAAGCAGGTGTGTAACAGCTGCAGCTTAGACATCTCATGGGGCTTGAAGGAGATGTACAGTTGGATGTCATCTGCATAAAGATGGTAGGAGATTCCTTTGAAGGAGCTCAGGATGTGTTGAAGAGGAAGCAGATAGAGGAGGAAGAGCAGAGGCCCCAGCACAGAACCTTGTGGGACACCATGGGTAAGAGAGGTGGTGGAGGACCTAAACTTGGAGACGGCCACAGAAAAGGAGCGCTCAGAGAGATAAGAGGAGAACCACTCCAGAGCAGATCCTAATAGGCCTACCCAGTCTCTGAGCCTCTCCAGTAGCAGGTGATGGTCAACAGTGTCAAAGGCTGCAGTCAGGTCCAGCAGGACCAGAAGAGAACAGTCCCCTGCATCACTGTGGGTCAGAAGGTCATTAGAGACCCTAAGAAGAGCTGTTTCAGTAGAATGAGCTCTACGAAAACCTGACTGGAAGCTATCATAGATGTTCTGTTCATCAAGAGCAGCTGTGAGTTGTTTAGCCACAACCTTTTCCAAGATCTTGGAGATGAACGGAGGTTTAGAGATGGGTCTGAAGCTGCTATGGAGAGAGGGGTCGAGACTCAGTTTTTTAAGAAGCAGGTGGATTACAGCGTTCTTAAAGTAAGCAGGGACCTGACCAGAGACCAGAGAAGCATTAATTATAGAGAGCACGCTGAGACCGATGGACTGAAAAGCACTTTTAAACAAAGATGAGGGTAAGATGTGGAGGGGGCATGCAGAGGTCTTCATAGAGTTAACTAGTTTGGTTAACTCAGGCAAAGAAACAGGAGCAAAGCTATCTAGGATGATGGGCCTGGTTGGAGTCGGGAGAGGCAGCGATAAGGCTGAAGGAGAGATGCTAGATCTAACCTTATTGACTTTGTCCACAAAGAAACACAGAAAGTTCTCACAGTCTGCAACAGAGTGGATGGAGGCTGTAGGAGAGGCAGGAGAGACGATGCTGCTGATAGTGTTAAACAGCACCTTGGGGTTCCCTTTGCTCTGGGACACCAGGTTGGAGAAATAGGAAACCCTAGCGTCTCTGACTGCAGAGTTAAAGGATGTCAGATGATCCTTTAGGTGCAGCAGATGGACGTGGAGATGGGTTTTCTTCCACAAGCAAGTAAAGTAAAAGTTATGCAGCAGAGGAAGAAAACACTAAAATACAATAAGTTCGATCGTAATGAGATAAAATAAGCTCAATACAATAGATAATTTATACCTTAAGAATGGAGTAAAAAATAACCATACTATATACAGCTTAGAAATACAGAGTATACCGTAAATCCTCTAATACAGGCCGGTATTCAATTAAAGGCCGGGTCTCCAATTTTGGCCGGTGTCGGAGTCAGCGAAGGTAAATAATGGCCGGTCTCTTATTGTGGCCGGGTGGGATGTGGTTACAAGCAAGTATGATGTCCCAGCGGCAGGATTATAGTCCCCAAATCCACCAGCAGGAGGCAGTAGAGGTTCACACAGACCTTTATTAGGCTCTTTCTTCAACGCTTTGTAACGCTACAGACACGATCCTCTATCACGCTCCTACCACACAGAGTCACGGTGTCAGTTAACCATGCTAATTCAACCCGCTACACAGAACACACATCACCTTCCCTGTGGCTTACATAACACTCACACAACACGCAAATCAGCACATAGGAACTAACAGAACGATAGGAAACACATATAACACAATACCCAGAATGCACCTGGCTTACAACCCCAGCCAAGTCATTACACTATCAAGTTCAAAGAGAACATGCTGATTATGCTGCAGAACACTCTGGGGAGCAGCAGTAGGGGTTGTATGAACTAGTCGACTTCACTATAGTGACTTTTTATGCCTGTCGTCGACTAGTCGCTGTCACGTGATAATGACCGGCAAGATGCAGCCCTCGGAAAAGACAGCAGCCTGCTATCAGCAGGTGACAAGCTCCTGCGCTCAGGGGGGCAACGCGCTGTGCCAGACCTTAGCTACTGACACGCGATCGTTCATGTCGGTTCATTTCCTTTAATGTTTTCTGTCTTTTATTTGCGCCTGATGTGTTTCGCTGCTGTGGAGCGGGGCGCATCACCTTGTCCTCCGACGCA